GCCGACATGATGACTCCCGTATATTGTAGACATGGCCTCAGAGAGCGGTGGTTGGTCGATTCTACCACATGCCGATGCTTCGCGTCCCGGCCAAAATTCGATTTTATATCAACAATTGGTATCCCCATGTTGGAAGTAGTCTGCTTTATCGTCACGGCCCCCACTGTAAGAGGAGGCAATAGGCACAGGGCATACAAAGAAATAAAAAAAGGAGATACACATTCACACCCAGAAACTAAAACTGTATTTTACACTTATCATACCAAACAGACTAAAAAATCCTAGCCTGCGAGCGAGGAGAAACGTCTGCCGTTCGCAGGCTATAAAAATCCCAAACAAACGCAATTTTCTTTCAATAACCAGATTATGTATTTTTTTTTTATCTTGAAGCTATATACAGCAGCACAGTTCACAACTGATCGCCATGAGTCGAATGGAAGGTTAGTGCTGTTGTGATTTAACAGTTCTTTACTTAGTCCTTTCCAGTGCGTAGTCAAATCACTACTCTGACTGATTTGCTGCCGTTGCCTTTTTTGATTTCATTCGAAGTGGTATGGATCAAGGTTTACTTATACTGGCGCTGTGTTTGGTTCTGTTAATCACGATCTATTGATAAACAAGCTAGAATCGAACGGACTTGGAAACACTGAACTGGATTGTTTCCAAGGCTATTTCAGGTCTGGCCGCAAGCAAGTTGTCAGCATTGGCAAAGAGACCTCTGATTATTGCCCAATTACGTCTGGAGTCCCTCAAGGATCCTTTTTATGTCCCTTATTGATTGTTTTGTTTGTAAACGATCTCTCAAAGGTTTTAACTCAATGTCTAATATTGATGTATGCTGATGACACGGTTATGTAGTAAGTAATAGCTGACACCTTGACAAACGAATTGGTACTGGTAAATTGACGGCTTATAGATAATAACCTGTTTATATAACATTTTATAGCTATTTTTATTTGTACATAATGATCCGATTTTCATTTCTATTCCATTTTAGTTTATTATATAGGGCCTCGATGGTAGCAGTTTTTAACTACAAAATCTGAAAGAGCTGATCTATTGAAATAAAGTTCATATCCATCTTGTTTACTTGGACCTCCCCTTTCCCCGACTTCTGTTTCTATTTTTATTTGTTTATATTCGATTACATGTATGTATGGCTTGCTTATGAGCATGAGGTTATATTGAAGACTAATCAATCTACACCGATAACCTATAATGCAAATTTGTGACCTATGGATTGTTGAACGATATCTTTTTGATCTCATCGATCCCATGTCATCGATTTATCACAATCGTTTGTAAACCTCTGCCGGGGGAGGGGTACTCAAGTTTTTATACGGGAAGGCTCCGCCCCGAGGTCCAACCCCTTACTCTTTTATATGCCATTCTTCACCAAAAAGTACCCCTTTCGTATACATTCTATTGACAAATGGTACCCCTTTCACATACAGTCAACTCCCGCCTTGCGGACACCTCGCTATTACGGACACCCCGCTATCACCGACAGCAGCAAAATCCCCGGCGAAAGTTACAAACGTTTGACTGAAATAAACTCCCGCTATTACGGACTCTCGCTACTACGGACTTACGGACACTTTATTCGGTCCCAACGTCACAATTTTATTGTTTTCTCTCTCGTTATAGCGGACACCGAGCAGCATCTTGGAATATTTGCACACATATCAAGTGTATTTTTTCTGCTTTTTGAAACTGTCTTTGTCTTTTT